TCACGCCTTAAATTCGGCGAACTTTTGAGTATCTTTTCTCTCTCTCTCTCTTTTTATATATATATATATATATATATATATATATATATATATATATATATATATATATATATATATATATACATGCAGAAACATCGATGTTTGCATTTATAAGGATACATTATATAATTTATATTATTCTAAAATATATTTAAAAACTAAATAAATAGTTATATGTAAATAAAAATGAATCATTTCTGGCAGCAACCAGGACTCATTAAAAAATACCAGTTACCTTCCTACTCAGATAAAAATATTCGATAAAATTAAATTTTCTGTCTGAATTTTTTTAAAATAATTATTCACATTATTTATAATTGATCTGCTATCTTTAATTACTGGACAATAGCCTAGTGGCTTAAATCTTTAGTCACAGAATTTGGTGACATAGTTAATTGTGAGTTCAATCCCTAAGACTGGTAGTGTGCACTTGTGGAAACGTGTGAGCAGTACTAAAAATAAAAACTAGACAATGCAAGGGCAGTGGAAAGAGAGAACAGTAAACCCACATAGATTAGATAAAGGTTAAATTCAGAATTAATTTTAGATTACCTAAATCGCTATGCACATGAGGAAGGCCGAAGGACCCAATGTTTGATAACAACAAAGATGAGGATAATAGTCCGCTTATATTTAGTGTACATAAAGATAAAATTTAGAAGACTATGTTGCGTGGTAGACATTCATGTAGTGCACATAGATTACTAATTCAACCATAATCTATCTTTGTGTCTGGAACTCTCTCTCTCTATATATATATACTCACACATTTAGCATACTACTGAGTTTTCATGCATGACGCAATCTCTGGTTGTAGAATTCAAAAAAATTTTGAATTCTGCATCCGAAGCTTGCGTCGTGCATAAAATTCAGAGTCATGCTAGAGGTGTGAGATAGTGTGTATATATATATATATGTGTGTGTGTGTGTGTAAGCAAATATATGGATATAGATCCGACAGTATGAAGAAAAATATATACGGAAAAAACAAACAAAAATCCTTATATACAATTATGCTGTTTTAATGTTAATATGTCAACGTCGGACGTTTCGGTCTAATAAACCATCTTCAGGACATATTCATAAGTTATAACATTATCAATACAACATGACAAAGACGATGTACATAAGAACAAGACTTATCCAAACAAATAACTGAAAGTTTTATAAGATCAGCGCTCCGATCGTCTTTGTCAAGATGGTTTATTAGACCGAAACGTCCGACGTTGACATATTAACATTAAAACAGCATAATTGTATATGAGGATTTTTGTTTGTTTTTTCCGTATATATTTTTTTATTATATATATATATATATATATATATATATATATATATATATATATATATATATATATATATATATATGCTGTGATTGAACACCTGCGCGATATGTTAGAATCTTATTGCCATATACCCACATCTATCTCTCTCTCTATATATATATATATATATATACATACATACATACATACATACATACATATATATATATATATATATATATATATATATATATATATATATACATTAAATAAAATAAAAAAAAAAGATGAAGAACAGTAAGATTTATAATCCGGTGATCTTAGCAGTTATTTTATAAAAAAAAAAAAAAAAAAAAAAACATTGCCCGATACAAACAGTACAGCATCGCTTGACAGGGAACGAGACTCTGGATTTTAAGTTTAACTTTTATAATTAAATTTATAATTTTAGTTTCAATTTTGAAACATGGAAATCATATTTTTTAAAAACAAAATAACCTTTATATATATATATATATATATATATATATATATATATATATATATATATATATGTGTGTGTGTGTGTGTGTGTGTGTGTGTGTATACATCCTACTACTATAAACATCCTGTGAGTGTCTTTACTTATTTGAGTAACGACTGTTGCTAAAATAATACTTATGCCTAATGACCATTTATAACAGATTTTGTTACAAATGTCTCTTGCTTCTCTCGATATTAATTTAAAATTATAAACATCTATCTTAGCATGTATTTGTGTATGTATACACAAAGGTAGGTAATATGACAAGATTTGCTCTTATTTAGTTTCTTATGCACCATTAGGTGCAGTGACAGTAAAATATTTATTGAAAAATAAATATTGTTTAAAATAAATATTTATATCATTAAGTAACAAAATTATTTGTGTATCAGTGCGTATTTATATGTATGTGCGTATATTTGTGAACGAATTGTGTGTATATTTTGTGTGACTATATGAGTGTGCACGTGAAAAAGGAGAGATCGGTCCAAGAGGATATACGAAAGTGTGTATGTTGGAGTGTACAAGCTTGCAATACGAAAATTAATGTTAAGAATTTCGACAATGAAAAACAATAACAAAGTACACTTGACATTCGAAAATACACTTTAAAATATTGCTTTGTCCGAGAAAATACGCATGAATAAATATATTTGTTTAAAAATGCGCCAGTATTTTTCATTCGGTGGGAATTATTGAAAGATTTGTCATTTTTATATGTATGTATGTGCGAAAGTAATTTGTTTTTATATGAACATCACAGATTTATGTAAGTTGGTTCATATTTTTACAATTCTTCTTGTTTACTTCTTGACTCTTGTAGAATGAAAGGCTCGATAAAAAGCAATAATAAATACAACAGAAAACTGGTAAAAGAATGAGGAAATGCTTCAGTAATTCAGTCAACTTTAAAACAATGGAACCCTAGTTTCAGGCATATATTTAACTCATTATTTTCTTGAAAGAATCACATACATCGACAGATATATAGGTATGTGTATCGGATATACATATATATATATATTACATGAATCATTCATACAAAAAAACAGATATAGAAGTTAATGATTTAAATGGCGAGAATACATCTTCACAAACAAATTTAATAAAGTCCATTAAACCCGAAATTTTTGTATGAATGATTCATGTAATGTAAATTGAACTACACCACATACTTGATATATATATATATATATATATATATATATATATAAATTATATATATATATGTATATCGTGCATATATATATGTGTGTGTGTATGTGCATTGTGTGTGTATATATATATATATATATATATATATATATATATATATATGTATATATAATATATATATATAATACATATAATAAATAATGAAGATTATTTAATATTGTAAAATAGTCATTCAAAGAATAAATCATTATAAAATTAATGTAAGTTAGTGGTCAGTGAGTTAATGTCTTCTTAATCTGTTAACGAAGTGTGTTTGCCATTAATTACTTTAACTTTATTGATTTTTTCTTTGAATATACAATATGTATATATAATTATTTTTTAAAAATATGATTCCTTCGCAAAAAGAAAAAAATAATTATAATTTAGGCTCTACTTTTGTATTGGCAACTGTTTTTTAAAAATAAAAACAAAAATACGAAAGAACTCCGGATTATTTAACTAATGTATATATATATTTGCACATATACATAGAGAGAGAGAGAGAGGGGGAGAGAGAGAGGGAGAGAGAGAGAGACAGACAGACAGACAGAGAGAGAGACAGAGAGAGAGTGAGATTATTGTGAAGGTTCGGGCCCGATTAAAAAATTAAAAACAATCAAAATTGCGTAATTATCTAATATATATATATATATATATATATATATATATATATAGTGCTTAAAGTATTCTGTACCTCTATCATGAAGTATAGAGTACTCTCTACTACAAATAAGCGAATTGTATATAATATATATAAGAGTATTCAATATGGGAGAACTGATATAGATAGGACAGTGTGGGCATAGGAATCTAATTTGCTTATATATATATATATATATATATATATATATATATATATATATCTGATAAAAAATCTATATATCAGACAAATAGTGGGTAATCGAATGAAAAAATCGAATGACAATTAGAAATTAAAAAAAATGAAAAAAAAATGAAAAAAAAACGAAAAACGATTTTGTCATTCATTTTTTTATTGTAAATACCTCAAAACTATAGTTTTGAGGTATTCTTCTATTTATTAGTTAAAGTGCTCATTATCAGCGAATGGAGCGGATGTAGATATAAAAGTGGACACTGAGGTAAACACTGACAAGGGTTAATCTTTTTTTTCTTCAACACAATCTTCAGGCCTGAAGATTACGTTCAAATATGAAACAGATTTCGCCACTGGTTTTAACCTCACTGTCTATATATATATATATATATATATATATATATATATATATATATATATATATATATATATATATATATATATATATATATATATATATATATTGGTGAAATTTTATGACAAAGTGGAAAAAGTTTACTTGTGACGCGTTTCATCCTTCATGACTTCAGCGGACTAATTTTGTTATCCATAACAATTATGTTAGGCATTTTGTTAGGTATATATATATATATATATATATATATATATATATATATATATAATTTATTCGAAAATAATAAAATAAATGTGTTATAAAATCACTACAAAAATAACCATTTTGTTTCAACACTTCTGGTGTCTTATCAAGTGATGGTGTTGAATGAAGAATAAAGGGTTACTTATTCTACATTCAACACATTGAACTACACCACATACTTGATATATATATATATAAATATATATATATATATATATATATATATATATATATGCATATATATGTGTGTGTATGTGTATCGTGTATATATATATATATATATATATATATATATATATATATATATAATATACATATATATTGATAAGACGCAGAAGTATTGAAACAAAATGGTTATTTTTGTAGTGATTTTATAACATATTTATGTTATTATTTTCGAATAAATTATATTTGCTCTGTATTGAACACTCTTTTAAGAATAGTGTTTTTTGGTCATTCGAATTTATTCCGTATGCACCAATCCTATACTTGTGTGTGTGCGTGTGTATACACACACACACACACACACGCACACACACACAC